GGGAGGAAAATACCTTATATTCGTTTTTCGCAGCTCGAAAAATTTCGCGAATTTCTCGACGAAATTTTTGCCTCGCTTGAACGTTCAAAAATTGTTTGAAAAGAGGAAAAGCGAATGAAAATTCGAAAAATTATCTACACCATTTTTCCATTTTCGCCTACCTAAACATTGCCGAAAAATTGTTGGAGAACTGAAACCGACCCTTCGTTCGCGAGTTCAAAAAGGAATAAGAAATAAAATTCATAAAAATTTTCACTTTTTACACATTTTCACCAAAATAAAACAGCTTGAAAGTTGTTATAATGATGAAATACTGAGCATTCATTCACGTATTAAAAGAGGAAAAGCTAAAGAAAATTCGGAAAATTTGTACCACTACTGTCTCCATTCTATACAGTTCGCAAAATGGTTGGAATAGTGAAAATCTATTCATGAGAGGAAAGAGGTTTTTCCGAATGAAAATTCGGAAACCTTTCTCCACCATTTCCCCATTTTCGCTCATCTCTAAACTGCCGAAAAAACTCTTGGAAAATTGAGAAAACCGAAAGAAAATTCATAAAATGTTTGCACTTTTTCATTAATTTTCACCTAACTCTAAACAGCTGAAAAATATTTGAGACGATGAAATAAATACCGATCATCTATTCACCGAATAACAGAGGAATAGCGAATCTAAATTCAACAAATTTGTACCACTACAATTTCCGTTGGTCTACATCTAAACAGTTGGGAAATGGTTGGAACAGTGAAAATCCGAGCATCCTTTCCCGAAATAAAAGAGGAATAGTGAATGAAAGTTCTCTACATTATTTCATTATTTTCGCCTAATTTTACATTACCGAAAAATGGTTGGAACACTAGAAAACCGATCCTTCATTTCCGAGATGAAAGAGGAAAGCGAATGAAAATTTGGAAAAGGTTTCCACTCGTTCCTCATTTTCGCCAAACTCTAAACAGTTGGAAAATTATTGGGACGATGAATAACCGACCGTCCATTCCATTATAAAAGAGGTAAAGCCAAAGAAAATTAGGAATATTTGTACCACTACAGTTTCCATTGGCCTACCTCTTAAAATTTGGGAAATGATTAGAACAGTGAAAATCCAAGCATCCATTTCCGAAATAAATGAGGAAAAGCGAATGAAAATTCGGAAAATTCTCTACACTATTTCCTTATCTTTGCCTACTTTTTCGTTGGTCGAAAATGGTTGGACCACTAGAAGATCAATGATAAAAATCCTATCAGCTATTCACAAGATAAAAGAGAAAAATCTAATGAAAATTTAGAAAATTATCTACACTATTTTCTTATTTTCGTCTACTTCTACATTGCCGAAAAATTGTTTTAATAGTGAAAAACAAAGTCTTCATTCCCGATATTAAAAAGTATTAATATACATATATATTGTAGCTAAAATCGCACAGTTCGTCGAGTGCAAGTCTCGATTTTTCTCGCTCGAATTTTCTCGCCTCGTTGGGGAGGCACTTGACGCACATGACGCGTAAGTTAAGCTTGACGCACAGTTCTCCTCGAGTTTTCTCGCCTCGTGAGCGGAGTGCCTTAGTATGCCAAACGGAAGTGAGATTGACATAGAATAAAATGTAAAAAAGAGAGAAGGAATATGAAGTTACATAAAGGAAATAATAAATGTAAATAGCAAAAAACAATTATTAATTAATAAATTAAATTAATTTACTTATTAAGGTTAAGTTTATTATAACTACATGTTATTAGACTATTCCTTTCACCTACATATTATTATTTTCGTTTTGCTGTTAATAGTTCATAATATCTACGGCTTTTCTTAGCCGTGATGAAGGCCTGAACTTTGGTCCGAAACGTAGGTAAACGTAGCCCGAAAATAAAATTAAATATAATTTATTTATTTTTACTTTGTGTTTTGACTGAGCTTCCCAACCAATTTTTCTTCTACAATTATTATAGTTTGTGTTTGACTACACTTTGATCTTAGCCAATAGGCCGAGAAGCGATGAGAGAAGCTCTCAACATTCTACTGTTCAACAAGGACTCCGAGTTGTTGATCATATTTCCTCAGCCCTAGAAAACAAGGAATACTGTTCGGGTGCCTTTCTGGACATTGCACAGGCATTTGACCGGGTATGGCACTCCGGACTGCTCTTCAAGCTTAAAATCATTTACCTCAGTCCTTGTACCTAGTCCTCCGATCCTACCTCTCTGACCGCTCCTTCCGAGTTCGCTGTGGAACAGAATTTTCCAATATCTACTCCGTTAAAGCCGGTGTTCCCCAAGGCAGCGTCTTGGGTCCCGTGCTTTACATCCTCTTTACTGCTGACATCCCTGTTCATCCCGATACTTTTCTTGCAACATTCGCTGACGACACCGCAATCTTATCATCCAACTCTGATCCCAACATAGCATCCTTAAATCTCCAAAATCACCTCACCTTGATTGAGCACTGGTGTAATAACTGGCGCATTAAAGTTAATGAATCTAAATGCCAACATATTACCTTTACACTCCGACGCAGTTCCTGTCCACCAGTACACTTTAATTCCATCCAGCTTCCTTACTCAGACACAGTCCGGTATCTTGGCTTTCATTTAGACCGAAGACTAACGTGGAACCCACATACTAGACTCAAAAGACAAGAACTCAACCGACGATACGGCCAGCTATACAGACTACTAAACAGAAAATCCAAACTTTCTATTGAAAACAAATTACTTATCTACAAGACAATACTGAAACCTATATGGACATACGGACTTGAACTGTGGGGGACAGCAAAAGCTTCTAACATCAAACGTATTCAATCCTTTCAATCTAAAGTCCTTCGAACAATAGTTGATGCTCCGTTCTATGTAAATAACAAAATCCTACACCATGACCTTAATATCCCATTTGTCCTAGACCTTATTCCAGAAAAATTCTCCAAATTTCACCAGAACCTTACCTATCATCCAAATCCCCTTGCACAATCTCTATCCAGCACCACCCATCCTTACAATCTTCCTCGAAGGTTGAAGCGACAGTGGCCCAGAGACCTTTTGTAAATAAGCATCTATTGGAGTTTTGGCAATGGCCAGATCCTCCACTCAAGCCCGAGTGTGTATGATTAGGTTAGTTCTTTTGTTTATATACATTTATTTTATTTTATTGTATTTATTATTATTAAGTTTCTGTATTATTTATTTATTTTTTATTGTAAATAGAGTGTGAGTGTGCTTTCTCTGATCACTATTATAAATGTCCTTGATGTGACAGAATGTAATATTTCTAAATAAACAAATATATAAATATACTATTTTAAAAATTGTGTTTGACGGTGTTTTAAGATAAAAATAAAAATAATTAAAATAATGATTATATGGAGTAATACAGATAGTAGTTATAAATTGGAATCTGTAATTATACTATTTAAGAGATTTTTATCATTATCGAATTTAATTTATTGTCAAACTTAAAAATTCACAAGTTTAAACAAAGATACCTAAATTTTCTATATTTTATAATTTCGATGTCATATTCGTGCTCCTTGGCCTTAAAAACAAAAGTGTACCAAATATAAAGTTAATCCGACATCATTTACAAGTTCTAGGTCAATGTCCACGAAAACCTGTCTTTCATCCCAATGTCTGCTGTGTCAGTTGGTTTTTGAGCAAAATATATAGAGATGGCATTTTGGATATCATCCAAGTTCGTAAAGTTTCTGCCACTTATAAAGTGTTGAAGCGTTCGGAATAAATGGAAATCCGACGGTGAAACATCGGGCGAGTATGGTGGGCGAGGCCAGTACCTCCAACCCCAAATCATTAATTTTTTCCAAGGTTTGTCTTGTGCAGTGCACTATTGTGTTGTAGACCAACATCTTCCCTATTGATAATAGCTGGTCTCTTTTCAATTAAAGAATAATTTACATGATCCAATCATTCATATTAAAAATCTGCAGTCACAGTTTGTCCAGGTTTCAGTATTTCAAAATGAACAAATCCACGAATACTCAACCAAACACCTATAAGGACTTTTTTTGCAGTGTAAACCTGGCTTAGTTGTATATCGTGGCGATTTATTCGGGGAGAGCCATTGCCTTTTGCGTTTTGGATTATCAAAAATTACCAGTTTTTCATTCCCGGAGATCAAGCCATCAAACGCTTTTATATTGTACCGTTGAATCAATAACTTGCATGTAGTGATTTCCCAATCTGCTGCCAATGTTCTTGGATGGTCGATCAAGGTTGAATAAGATTGTTTGACAATTCCTCGATCTTCTGACACGGATTTGCTTCGACTTCTGCCCTTAACACTTCATTATCTAACGGTAATTATTAAAAGTCTTCCTGATCGACACTAGTCGGAAAGATCAAAATTACCGAATTTGTATTGCGAAACCACCTTAGGTATTACAAACGACTGATGCATTTGGATAAACATCGCAAATGTTTTTGGTAGCAATCAGCGTTACTACCCTTCCGAAACTGAAATATCATGCAATGTCGGATATTTAGCTCTTCTGCTCATATCCATTTGTCGTATCCACATTGCCAGTAAAATCAATTTTATAAAGTAATTCAGAAGAAGTTGAGAATTTAATAAAACTGGCATCAATAAAAACCAACTATTCAAATAAAAGGTGTCAAGAAAATCAACGAAAAAGTGGTAGAGTGGCCATTCTTCTTCCGATGAGTACTAAAAAATGGCATATTCAGGTACATATCAAAATCATTTATAGTGCAGATTTATTTTTAATTCCTTAAACAAAAAGAAAAGAAAAAGAAATTAAATTAGGTCAAGGATTTAATTAATTTAAAATTAAATTAATTAAAAATTAATTTAATTTAATATTTTAATTAATTTAAAAGAATGGTTTATCTTTAACCAGTAATATGTATTAGAGGACTCCCTACATTTTTTTTTATTCATTGTACCCTCACTGTTTGATATGGTAATGAAATGAAAATTTTTAGTACAGATACATTGGTCAGTTGTTAATAATACTTAAGTAAAGCCAGTTTTTGGTTTGATTTGTTTTTATTTTACTGGAAATAAAAATAAACTAGGGAAATTTTCTTATGTATATTTATTTTAGAACTTAACGAGGCTAATATAATCTTTGTAAACAATGTTGTTGTTTAAAACACATTCTATCTACATGGTAGTGATTAGAATTAGTCTTCCTGCCTCATTAAATTAAGAGTTAATGAATTATATTTTCCTGAATTTTACGTAATTTTCTTATTTCAGCCTTATTACTTCTTATTTATGTAACTGTCAAAGAACTTGCTGAGGGAAGGGGGGTGAATACAGTACGGCTACGACTCGTTGCTTACATATATATAGAAAGGAATAATTTTCTAAGCAGGCAGTCGAACGAGCAACTTCTCTACTCACATTACAGCTTCTATCATAATGAATAAATTAGTAAGTATCAATCAATTTACAATTCTTTTTACAAAACGAACGGGAGCGAAATTAGAATTTCAATAATTAATGATTTTAAAAGTTTTATATAAAAGTCATATTACCCTCTCTTTACAATTAAATGGTGTTTATTTTTGAGATTCCAAATTCCCGAATTTACGATTAATTAATTGATCACCCCCCTTCCCTCAGCAAGTTCTTTGACAGTTACATAAATAAGAAGTAATAAGGCTGAAAAAAGTTGTCTTGTGACTGTTAGTCTTGTGAACACCTCAATCAATCTAAATGCTTTTAAAAATTAGGTGCTAATCAATTTTCACGTATTTTTATTTCAAACTGCAAATTGTTTGAATTATTTGCTACTCAAAAAATATATGAAGTGAAAAAATTACTAAACAGAAGATCTATAACTATTTTGATTCACAGATCTACCATTTTTTAGTTGCCTCATTATTCGTGCTCTTTTATTAATACTAATATCAATACCACAAATATAACAAAGAACATTTATTTATTTTGAATTAGATAGTTTTTTATTTACATTATTTTTATTATTTTTTTTTTATTACTGAAAATGTCGGTTCTAAAATAATAAGATAAATAGTAAAAACATAAATATTATAAATTGTGAAGTATTAAACAGAATAATTAGTTGGTTTATATAGAAAAAAAAATCAGAAATGGAAAATTATTGGCTGTTAAGAAGTTTCTATTTAAATGGATGATAATTATTAGAATGTAGATTTTCATGGACATTTCTTTTTATTTCAGCTCTCTTTTGCTGTCTACTTTTTAACGACCTACTCATTAGCAGCAGAGGCTAAAGAGAATAAACAACCTGAAAAAAGAGGAATTGTGGGCGGTATCCAAGAATTAGCATACGGATCTGGAATCGGACTTGCTTCTGGAATAAGTCTTACTCCGGAAACGGGTCTTGTTAGCTCTGGAATAAGCCTTCCTTCAAATATTGTTACATCTGGAGCAGGCCTGACGAATGGACTTCAACTTTCTAGTAACACTCTATCTTTAGGAAATGCTGCATCGTCTGGAATCAGTCTTGCATCAGGAATCTCTTCGATTGCCAGTCTTCCTGCGGCAACTACTTTAGCGACAGCAAGTGGTTTATCTTCAGGAATAAACCTCTCCGCTGCGAATGGCCTAACTTCTGGAATAAGTATCTCTTCTGGAACTGCCATTCCTTCTGGAATCAGTTTGCCTACTGCAACAGGTCTTACTTCTGGATTAGATTTGAAATCTGGATTAGCACTGCCAACGCCTCAGACAGTAGCGGTTCCTGTGGATCGCCCAGTGCCGGTTTCGGTTTCACAGGCGGTTCCTGTTCCAGTCGACAGGTTGGTACCTGTTACAGTGAATCGTGCAATTGCTGTTCCGGTCGATCGGCCTTATCCGGTAGCAGTCGACAGACCAGTCGCTGTTCCAGTACCGCAAGTAGTTACGGTGCCAGTTTCCCGCCCAGTACCAGTTCCAGTCCCATCACCTTTCCCTGTACCTGTTGTCAGAAAAGTTTTCGTTCCAGTTCCACACCCGGTCACCGTTGTTAAAACTGTACCAGTACCTATAGATACTCATCCGATTGGTAAGTGTAAAGTAGAAAATAATATATAATATAAATTTTCTATTTTATATTGACTTTAGTACAACCTATCGATTGTATATTTTAGCTAACCATTATGGAGGTCAGTACGGAGTCAGCTCAGGATACGCTACCGGACCACGCTTCGCCCCAGGACCTTACGGCAGCTTGCCGTTCTCAGGTAGGGAGTATGGAGGCGGCTACAACGGGTACTCCGCTGTTCCAGTTAGTCTCGGACTCTCACATGCGTTACCTCCTAAATATTAAATGGATAGCTACCTTTCGTTGATGTAAAAGTATTAAAACATTTTATTTTATTGTTGTTAATTAGGAGTTTAGATGATAAACTTAATTTATAATTTCAAGACTAAAGGTTTAATTGTAGGTTTAATGAAACAATGTCTTTTGTATATATTTAAGTCTTTCAAGCATTGTTACTGTTGTTATTGAATGTTTTATTTAAGATGTTATTGTTATTGATTGTCAATTTTTAATACATGTTTTGAACTAATTGCCTTGTTTCTTCTATTTCTATATTTATATTTCGTATCGTAAGGAATATAGGTAGTTATACTTAAGTAAAATATTTTAAAAAAATAAATAAATTCATACCTAATCAAAAGTATGGGTTACTGTATTGAAAATTATATGAATTTTGTTTGTTGGTCCTTTCAAATCAATGCATAACTTTATCGTACCAGCATCATAGCTAGATTAAAACACACGATTGAATAAGATTGCTGCAAATAAGTATACTGTAATTTATAGATAGAAAAGGATACTTATTTATTGTTTACATGCCATATTTGTGGAAATTAAATACGTTAGGCATTACAGGTTCGTGTATGACTGGTTCTACTATGTGATAATTGTTTTATAAAAGTTTTTTTACTATCCGATAAGATTTTTGGAGTATTCAAATAAATGTTCAATCATCCCTATGAGTAACATTAAAATCATATTTACATTAACATTAGGATGGAAATAAAAATAAAAATAAAATATTATATTTTATAACTTCCTAGTTAAAAATTAAAATACTTCTTAGAATCTGAAAAGTGAATTTAAAATTTAAAGAAATAATTTGGTTCATTGCGGTATTGCTTTAAATTTTATCTAGGGTTAAATTTAATTAAATTTTTGAGAGTCATAGCGGTCATGAAATTTATTTCTGAAATTTCTTACTTATTGGTAATTTGTAAATAACTGTAACTGAAATTACTTATTGTCCAACCCTGTTTACTATCTCCATAGAAGTTTGCCGTCCTGATACACCTATCAATCCAAATTCCTCTATGTTTTAGAAATTTTAATTAATTCCTAATTAAGGACTAGTCATATTTTTTTTCAATTACTTGTCGGATTAACTATGCATGCTTGTTATATAACAAGAGCGCTGTTTCGTTCTTAATGGCCGATTGGTTTTCATGGAGTTGGTTGAGAGCCATACTGGACTGACGCTAAGTTTAGTGCAGATTGTGCGAATGCTAGGAATCCCTAATTTTTTGAGGCACTCTTCTCATTAGATTCAAGTCATCTTCACACCCTTACTACAATCCACTGCTATCCTAGAGGGATGGTTAGGGTCAGAAGATGGTTCCCCATTTTTGTACCCCGTATGCCAGAAATGGCCAGGCAGGAAAAAAAAAAAAAAAAAAAAAATGTTCTCTCCATTTTTGGAATATCATAGTCTCTCACAGCAGCTCATGGAAGAATCTTTACAAGGATTGCCAACCTATGACCTTACCTCACTTCTGTATTTGTAACATCTCTCCAGGAAGAACAAAGGAACATAAGATTCAGATCCATCTCTTTATTGAATTTCAACAAGCCTACGATTTTGTTAACTGAAAGGTATCATATCAAACCATAATTGAGATGTCTGTGCTTTGAAAGGTTCTCGAGGATGACTATGCAAAAGAAAGTTATTTGTGACGAACGAAAAAAAAAATTGAATAACTCCAACAACCTGGCCTATCAAATATTACTGAAAGATAGTACTTAAATTATTACATACTCAACTTACATTTTATTTGCGCTTGTCTCAACCTTGGAATTGAAAAAAAAACTAAAAGTGTTATTCATTTACAAAAAGTGTGCCAAGTAAGAACAGAACAGCTTCCTCACTGTTTTGATTGGCTAAAAAATATCTATATTACAAGGTATAACATTTTCGTATGAGAATAAAATCTCTGGGAAAAGCCGATTTGGAAATACAGCTATCCTTCAACATTCGCGTGGTTGAAACCCACGAATTTTGTTCATCAGTGAATATTAAAATGCGAAAGAGTTCCGTATTTGCAGATTTCATATTTAATGAAAAAAAATACAACTGCATACTGAACATGTATATCTGTTAGTGCAAAACCAAAACAACGTATGTCAAAATTGAGTGTTTTACAAGAAATACGAAAACTAATTATTTCCGTATGTTTCATTAGTATAATTTCATATTTCATTGCCCTCTGCTATTTTCCATAGTAGCAGATTACAAAATGTCACCTTTAGCACAAATATAATAAAAGTTGAAAATTTTTACATATGACCTTTTGCACTATTAGTAGTGATAAATTCTTAATAGGTACGTTTTCATTTGTAAAATGGATGAAACAAAAAATCCATTGGAAAAATTCAACTTTTTGTTTATTTAGAATTAACGAGACCAATATTTTCTACAGTGAGAGCAAAACTAATTCAAGCTGGAATATAAAATATGATTGAAGTTCACGCAACTTTGATATTTAAGAAGGAAATTGAGACCAGCTGGTTGAACTTCAATAGAAATAAACACAATAACAAATAAGACTTTTTTTTTTTATTTATTTTTTTTTTTTTTTACGAACTTAGTGTAAAAATTACTTTTAATTTACTAAAAATTACACGAAATCAAAGTAGCGGTAGGGAGCCAGTAACGTTTGGAATCGACAAACCAATACAGTACAAATATTTTTTTAAATAAAATCTAAAATTTTATAACCTCACAAAAATATTGTACTAACTTTTCATATGATCAATGCCTTCCACATTTCACAGCTATTATATTAGGAACATTTATTTATAATAATTTTAATTATTTAATGGAATTCAATGAAATTGATACTAGGCAATTCCCATGCCATTATCCAAATTTCCTCCAAAGTTAGGGTCAAATCGAACGAGCCGTTTTCAAACTATAGGCGTGTCAAATAATACCTTTCCTGATCTGGAATCAAAAATATTTTCTGAAAGAAGTGGATAGAATTTGATAAAATTGATACATACTTGATTATCTGAACGTACGGTTTGAGAGATATAGACGTATCAAAGAAAATACGTAAGCTTTTGTATTAAATAAAACTATTTATTAATGTTGATTAAAAATGTTTTTTACATTTTAAGTTTTTGTACCTTTAACTTTAACTCACAGATATAAAAAAAATCACTTTCCATCAGATATGAGAATATTTCTAGAGCAATAATACACGGCTTTACTTTATCCTACGAAAAGTGAAATCATTTGACATCATGTGTCGGTCGAAATAATCCACCTTGATACTGAGTTAAATATCGCTAAACACTCTACAAATATTTTTCCAAGAATGTTTTCTTTAAACTACAGAAGTTAAAATAAATGAACGTAATAAATACAATTAATTGCTACGTAGTAAATCACATCAGAATCTACATTCCATACTACTTAAATAGTTCCAGATAATGTTTGTTTTATTCCCTTCTTATGTGAAGTAGCCATGTTTTGGAAATATTGTTCAACAAATCACATTTTAATATAAGTTAACATTTTATCCTCATAAAGACTGTAAAATATTTTTTACCTCGTCTTTAAGGCTATAGGGGATTTTACCGGGCCAGAGGGTGTGGGCGGGGATTTGAAAGACTCCCCCGGCATTGGGACGCGAACTCGTGACTGATTATTTTAAATCCATTATCACTTACATCTAGTTGCAGGGCAACGGCGGTGCTGTACACACATGTTAGCTCGTTCGGCAACCCCGCCCACACAATATTTTTATATGTCAATAATATTTATAAGTTGACATTATTGTTGTTTCTTTATTTGTATCAATTTCGATGTTGTTTTTTTGCTTTTATCGTATTATTCGCTAATCTTGGGACTTCCTGTCTTTGTTTTCTTTTCAGACATAGCTTTGGCTTAATAAAAAGAACTACTTAATGAAACTACCTCAATCTATTCCTAAAACTGTGATGAACGAGTTTGTACCATGCCAATATATATTTTTTTAATAATATTTTCTTCCACCAATTTGCCTTTTAGCGTTGGAATATTTTTAGCCATTGGTGCCACGCGTTTCTTTCCCGTGCAAGATTTTTTATTTATCACTAAGTCTTCCCTCTTCGTTTCCTTATACGTTTTTATATGGAATGTTCTTGACCGATCTCACCGCTAGGATTTCTGTGATGGTCCGTGCCTCAGACATATCCATATCATCTGAGTGGCTTATTCAGTAGGATTTTACTTCCATTTACCTGTATATGAAAGATACAGATATTGCGACCGTGAAAAATTTCGAATCTGAGCTACTTCATAATAAACATGAAAAATTCATTCAGCCGCATTACTGTTATTTTGGTCTGAGCTTATTAAATGCGTCTACTAATGCGGTGATATGAAGTATTGGGAATTCCCATAACCCTATTGACCATAAGGCTATCTGATAGTTATTTAAATACACTCACAGGATAGAATGGACCTCTAATCAAGACTTGAGGGACAATTACAGATTTCAAAAGGCCACTTTCTCACAAACCTCCTATAAATATCCCAGCGCTGGCAGGTGCATTGAAGGAATTTGAGACCGCTGCAGCAGCTCGAGGTCTGCGAATACACGAGCAAAAGACGATGTACATGAAGAGTTCAAGACATCGTCCTAATCAAGATCGAACTCTAAACATAGGCCAACACGAGTTCCCAGTGTGCAGAGAATTCAAGTACCTGGGATCCCTTATGACGGCAGACAACGATGTAGGAGCTGAGATAGGAGCCAGGATTGCTGCGGGAAACCGATGTTTTTATGCCATACAACGACTACTCACGTTTCGAAGACTATCAAGGAATGCCAGAGTGACAATCTATAAAACATTGATTCGTCCGGTAGTCACATACGGAAGCGAGACGTGGATTATCTCAGAAAAACATGAGAGGGCTCTTGGAGTGTGGGAGCGTAAGATTCTTAGGAAGATTCTTACGGGCCCGTATGCGAAGGTGT